GCGTACGCCGTTTTCTGGATTTGACCGTACGTCAGGTTTCAGTAAGAAATCCACGCAAGTGTTTGTACATGAGGCCCCTGGTGCTTCACATCAGCACTAATTCCACAAGGCCTTTAACAGTAAAGTTAAAGGTCTAAAAGAAGTGTGGCAAAAACTGAAGCARTTGTCTGACTCATTCTCGCTCTTTTTTTCTTTTTACATTTAKCWGCAGATTCAYTTCTGCAGTATATTTCTACCTAAACGATTTCTCTAATATTCTTCACTTGTCCGATTCCACCATATTTGCTTACTTACAGCTACGGTCAGCCTTACATAGACCCATCATGTGACTCACAATTAGGGTTGGGCATAATCGTATCGTGTGCAATTAATCGCCAGAAAAACATTAATCAATGATTTTTTTGGCACTTGACGATTAATACGATTAATGCCAGCAGTCCGCTCGGTGCTCCTCTCCGCTTCGAATATGAAAAGCATTAAAAAAGTTCTGTAATTTATTTATCTATCAACACAATTTAAAATTTGATGTATAGCCTGAAGTCTGTAATTTTGACACAATTTGGAAATGATTTTTCAATAAGAGCAAGTCTTTCCCACTAAATTGGTRATGTKACTAGGACATAAAGGACGTCCAGGGACTCCAGGGGATTAATCGTCAAATTAATCGTTATCGGCTAAATACCACAATTAATMGTGATTTATTTTTTTTGCCAATATTGCCCAACCCTACTCACAATTCCATGATCCATTCCAAATCTTCGTTTACACTGAGTGCATAACCACATTGCAGAATTGCAAATTAATATGTCTACAAAACTGCTCAAGTAAACTCTTTTAAACTGCACTATTTGATTTATTCATTGTTCAGGATTGTTTTTATTATGAATTGCAATGAGTACCTTTATCACCCTTTAGCCTTGTTTCTATTCTAAAGAGATATAATTTCTTGTCACTTTGTGAGGGAAATGACATCATTGCACACCCCTCAGCAAGTGCTCTTTTATTTAAGCAGTTTGTGACAATGTCAGTAAAGCTTTTTGAATTATTGATGTCATTTCCTGCTTTCATGCTGCATCACATTTATGATGTTTAAACACTTTGTTCCTCCCTCCRACCTTCTCTCAGGGCTCGTGAAGTTGGGTGTCCACTGTATAACMGGGCAGAAGGTGGCCATCAAGATTGTGAACAGAGAAAAACTCTCAGAATCAGTTCTGATGAAGGTACGGCACTTTTTTAAAATCTCTTTGTTGGTCTGCATGCCTGTCTTTATGTAGCTCAGTTCAAGCAAGCCTGCACTGAGCAGAGACGTCAGCAGGGGGTCTTATTTTAGTCGGGAAAGGCCCATCATAGTGCTGTAACCTGAGACTGYTGAGTGTGTGGACATTGCTTCTGTGCACTAAGCAACAGGAAAGATTACAGGCTGCTAATAAAAGGGATGTTTAGTCATTATGAAGAGGGGTTTTATGAAAACATTAATATCTTACCTGTTGTAGGTAGCTTTTTGAGCAGTTTTGAGAAACAGATTAATTCTGACGGGACTGAAGATCAACCAGTTAGGACCAAAGTGAATTGATGGCATAAAAAAAATTCAAAACTTTCATGGTAGTTCATGTAGGGCTGCATATTAGGAAAACATGTATTGTATTGTATTGTACAATGTTGTGATGATGATATAAGTTGCCGTAAAACCCCAAGTCCCCAAATACACTTTTTTGTACWGGCTATGAGTATTAAGAAAATCAGTTTTGCAGAGCTCAGTTATTTTGTCAGAAATATGTGTAAGTGAAATACCTGCAAGAAATGATCCCAAGCTGAATCAGAAGTGCCACAGTTGGCTGCTGCTGCTTTTAGAACTTGCATTTATAAGTCTATGTATATAACTGTTTAAAGTAAAACAAGATGTGGTATAAAGGGCTATAAAATAGTCTTCAAATGAAATGCTATAAAACTTTAAAAGATCTGAAGCTGTCTTAAAGCAACAGTGATCCAGTTGGTTAGTTCAGACCATCTTTTAGCTTATTAAACTGCTGGTCAAGAAGGCTACTTAGTTTCATTGTTTATAAGCTTTACACCCAATGTCCCTTTAAGACCTCTGATAAGTTCTGCAGCAGATGCAGTTGACTGAAATAAACATTTTCTTGTTGTCAGTGTCTCACCTGCAGCTTGTTGCACACAGGGAACATGCGAGTCATGAGAGGGACACTGTTGTAGCTTGTTTTTTATGGACAGTCTGAAAACAAACACTGACTGACAAAGTCACACATACTCCTTTGTTGAATCATCACCTTATCGTGGTAGAGGAGCTTGTGCGTGTGAATGATCCTAGGAGGACTACTGATACTACCAGGGGCAATTGAAATTGCCCCTGGTAGGGTCTCCTATGGCAGATTTGGCCTAGGTGACAGGTCAGACAAAGAATGATCTTGTTTGTTCTTGTTTGAAAAAAAAATCAAGGAACTCGGACTCTGCTCGAATAAGCRACATGGGTTTGCCTTCCTGTGGGCTCACCACCTGCAGTAGTGGCCGTATGAGTCGGGTGCATGTTATCATGGGCAGTAGMCAAAGGCAAGGACCTTGGAGCTCTGACCCTGACCTACCAAAACTGGCTCWTGGGACWTGGAACGTGACCTTTCTGGTGGTGAAGGAGCCTGAGATTGTGCGAGAAACCTAGTACTTTTCTGTTGTTGGACTTATGTGCTAGTCGAAGTTTGTTTATCATGAACACCGTGTTCGTACATAAGGGTGTCCAACAATACATGTGGCACCAGCACACCGTGGGTTGTAGACTTTGTATTTGTGTCATCTAACCTGCGGATGGATTTTTGGGACACCCAGGTGAAGAGGAGCTGATCTGGCAACTGATCACCACCTGGTAAGGAGTTGGATCAGATAGCAGGGGAAGATGTCTGACAGGCCAGGTAGACCTAAACGTGTAGTGAGGGTTTGCTGGGAATGCCTGACAGAAGAACCGGTCAGAAAAATCTTCCATCCACACCTCCAAGAGAACTTTAATCACCCCAGCTGAGGCAGAGGATATTGACTGAGGCCTTAAAAAGCTGCCTTGAGTTGTGGGTGCAAGGTTGTTGGTGCTTCTCGCTGCGGCCATTCTCAAACTCAGTGGTGGACACATCAGGTTAGGGAGGATATCAAGCAGAAGGAGTCCTATTCAGTGAGGTAAAGACTTGTGATTGGCTCTGAGGATATTCTGGCAACTTATCCAGCAGGGAAAGCAGGTTTTTACTAACACTGTTTGGTGAAAGTGGGGTGCCACTGGATTGGCAGACTGGGGTGGTGGTTCCCTTCTTCAAAAGGGGAACCAGAGGGTGTGTTCAGACTATAGGGGTATAACTTTCCTTAGTCTCCCTGGTAAGGTCTATTCAGGGGTGCTAGAGAAGAGAGTCAGATCGATAGTCTAACTTCAGATTCAGGAGAAGCAATGCAGGTTCTGTCCTGGTTGTGGAACACTGGACCAGCTCTTTACCTTCACTAGGGTCCTTGAGGGGTCATGGGAGTTTACCCATCCGGTCTAAATGTGTTTTGTAGACTTGGAGAAGGCGTTCGATCCTGGAGGTGCACTGTGGGGGGTACGCTGCGAGTATGAGTTAGTTGGTCTGTTGCCATGAGCCATTCAGTCCTCATCTAACCAGTGCAAGAGTTTGGTTTGCAATGCAGGCAGTAAGTTGGACCCCTTCAGGGTGGGAGTTGGACTCCACCAGGGCTGCATGTTGTCACAGATTCTGTTCATAATATTTATGGACAGAGTTTCTCGGTGCAGCCAGGGGATGGAAGGAGTCTGGTTTAGAGGCCTCAGAATTTCATCTCTCCTATTTGCAGATGATGTGGTCCTGTTGGTATCATCATGCTGTGATCTTCAGCTCTCACTGGAGCTGTTTGCAGCCAAATGAGGATCAGCATCTCCAAATAAGAGTCAATGGTCCTCCTCCTCCTTTTAGCGTTTGTTTATCTTTCTTCTTCTTTTAGCCTTACGCTACTTTAATTTTAGCAATTTTTTTGTTTATTTTAGCAGTTTTCTATCATTTGATTATTATTTTGCTACTTATAGCTGATGTTTTACCTTTAACATCTGATTTTAGTTTTAGCATGTTTTTCTTTAGTTCTGGGTACTAATTTACTCATTTTAGCTTTACCATCTGTTAGGCAAATGGTAAAATTTGGGAGAAAAAAACATCAGCAATAATTAGCTGGTTTTTGCTATTTTTAGTCTCTGTTACTTTTTCTATTTTTTGGCAGTACAACAGATCAGTGGTTAGAACTAATGCCTCACAGCAAGATGGTTCTAGGCTCAATCCCTGGTTTGGATCAAGGTTCTTACTGTGTGGAGTTTGCATGTTATTCTCATGTTTGCATGAGTTTTCTCTGGCTTTCTTCTACAGACCAAAAACATGCATGCTAGGTTGCCTTCAGGTAGGCTTCCTTTGCAAAATAGTGCTCTCATTTGCCTGGTTAAAAAACGGTTAATAAATAAAGTTACTAATTTTAGCTTCTAGATAATGAATTTAGATATTAGCTTATGCTGTCCCTACTTTAGCTTGTTTTTTCTCTAATTTTATATTTAGTTGTGCTCGTTTTAGCCCCTCTTCTGTTTATGTTAACTTTTACAACTCAGTTTCAGATTCTTCAGTAAAGTTTAGTAATCTAGTAGTCAGCATTCACACTGTGTTTTTGTTTCCTTGCCTTTTCTTTCTTGTTACATATTTAAGTATGCAACACAGCCTCAACAATTTCCTGCATTTTTTTTGTTAGTTTTAGAAATTAATGTTGCTGATGTGACTCCACAGGGTGCGACAAAAAACAAAGAACAAAAAACAACCCTTTAGGTCTTTTTCGCACCATGTTTCAGCAGCAGGGAGCCCATTTAAAGGACACTGAAAGTGACATGAATTTACTGTCGAATAATCAATCACCTCTAATGTGGAGAGAAAATCAATTCTGAACCTTGTTTTTTTGTCACATGGGAGGCAGTTTTAGGTCATGGTATGGACAGCTGCTATTGTTAAGATGGACATGATATGCTTTGGGTGTGAAATTGTACATTTTAAATAATAAATGGAAACATTTGAGTTTGAAATTGTTGCTTTTGTCATTGTTTTTTTTTTTTTTTTTTTTTTTTTGGCCCTGGGTTCACCTCTTGGATGAGATACAGGCCGAAAGGCCATAAATGTGACCCATATTTATGTCTAAAGACCTTCAGAAGTTTAGCTGTGATTAATTGTTGCTTTCTTCTTGCTGTTTCTGGAAACACAAACACTGAATTAACAGCTAAGGGTTCAGACTTTTAGTGGGCTATGTGAGGATTTGTAAAGGTAGACACGAGCATGCGGTGAATTTGGAACCTAGAAATGATAGCAACAGCTTTGAGTTTTTTTAAATGTTTACTCATCAAAGTAGCTACAGCTCATTCTGCAGTGACATCATATTCACCCTCTCTGTCTTATGCATAACAAAACACTTAAAACAGTATTTCCTATGCTTTGTGCTTTACCTAACCCCTCCACCATTGTTCCCTCTCCCTGCCTTCCATCACATTTACCCTCCTCTCTCGTCTGACATTTCCATCTCCATCACTTTTAACCTTCTCTTTTCTCCCGTAACCTTTTTTCTGCATCCCTCGTTCCCTCTGTCTGTGCAGGTGGAGAGAGAAATAGCTATTCTTAAACTAATAGAGCACCCTCATGTTCTGAAGCTCTATGATGTCTATGAAAATAACAAATACCTGTAAGTACCTTTGGACTGTGCTCATTTTCTGCTTCCTAAAAATAAAACAAACTGCTTTGYCTCTACATTTCCTGCAGAAACTGAGATAAATCAAACCCCAGCATGACAGATGAAGAAGACTGTTGTGATTTTCCTGTCTGTATCTCAGGTATCTGGTACTGGAGCATGTGTCTGGTGGGGAGTTGTTTGACTACCTGGTAAAGAAAGGCAGACTGACTCCCAAAGAAGCCCGGAAGTTCTTCAGACAAATCATCTCTGCCCTTGACTTCTGCCACAGTCACTCCATATGGTCAGTGASAGGCTTGACTGATACATTCTTCATAATATTTTCAGGTTTTCTGTCCTCCTGAGTTCTCACACCATAGAAGCAGCAAAGYTTTTGTGCAACAGCTTGAATTTAATAGTGACCTTATTTAGAAAACGTAAAAGCACAGTAAGGAAAKACCTACATTTATCATCTACTGCAAAAGGATGTTTAAGGTTTTTGCTTGTGTGTGTCTGTTTGTCTTTTGGCAAAATATCTATTTTTTATTTTTATTTATCTTTTTGTTTATTGTTTATTGTTTGAATATAAAAAAAATCACCAAAGGCAGTCCATCTGAACAACCATCTGAACAACTACAGAAATAAAATAATACACAATCTTTAAATTCCTGTCAGTGTCAAAAAGATAAGGCATAGGCTGAAAAAAAAGTGTAGGTAGAAGCCTAAGCTTTTTATACCTTCACTTTTTATTCATAGATTATCAAAATCAAATCAACATCTTTCTTATAGATTTTATAAAATAAAATTTCCAATGAGATTCTAACCAAATTTGTAACAAAACTCTAGCAGCAGCAAACAGTCAGTCAAAACTTAGTATATTTCTGTAACAAATAATTTTTAAACATCCATCCATCCATCCATCCATTTTCTTCCGCCTATCCGGGGTCGGGTCGCGGGGGCAGCAGCTTCAGAAGGGAGGCCCAG